ATGACTGCATGTATTATTATGCACAATATGATAATTGAGGATGAACGAGACCTTGATGCGGCGATTGAAAGTGTTAGGGAAGCCTCGATTCCAGACGTTGAGTCGGTTGACACTGATCAATCTCAGTTCCAGGCATTTGTTGCTCGATACAGACAAGTTAGAGATAAAGAAGCTCATATAGCCCTTCGTAATGACTTGATTGATCACTTATGGGAGGATTTTTCTAATTCAGAAAATTAGACATGTTGTTATTGTAATCAATAAAAAAATATTTTTGTCATGTTGTTTTCTTATGCTTATATCATTATGTAATCAATATTTTTTATTTTTTTTTTGTCATGTTGTTTTTTTATGCTTATATCATTATGTAATCATATTTCAAGTATTTAAATTTATGCAGTTTTTTATATGTATTTTTATAATTTAATAAATAAAATTATTAATATTTCAACATATATGTTTAAATTAATTTAAAACAAAGAATAATATAATAAAAAAATATGTAGAGTAAAATGTGGAGTGAAGGGTTGGAGGTAAAACTTGAATTTTGGCTTACTCTACTTTAGAGTAGAGTAAACGTTTCGTTAAAAAAAAAAAAATACTTTAGAGTAGAGTAAAGTCTACTCCATAGTAGAGTAAATGGCTGGAGATGCTCTTAGAGCAATCCCAACGCTGCTCTCTTTCCTCACTTTGCGCTATAATAGCGCTACACAATGCCCCCAACGCAGCTCTATATCTTTACTCTATATTACATAATGAACAGTGTATCTCCATATGTGGAGATACACTGTAGCAACTCTATAATTTTTTTTTTTTTTTTTTTTTTTTTGTTATATGTAATTTAGTTACAAATTTTTATTAATTTTAGTTATAGTTTTATTAACTTTTTTATGTAATTTAGTTACATTTTTTATGTAATTCATGTTTATATGTAATTTAGTTACATTTTTTATTAACTTTATGTTTTAAAATATTTTTCATTATTTTATAAAAAATGAATTAAAAAATTAATATAAAAGCGATTGATTCCATTAAAATTAAAAGTACAACACACAACAACCACAAAATACATAATCCAAAATAAAACATGACTTAAATTCAAATGACATAAAAAATTAGAACACGCACATGAACTTCTAATAAAATTTCTAATATAATAATCTCCCAAATCACTTCCAGATCCACCAAGATGTTGAAAGAATTCGCTGTAAACACCATAAGTGTTATTGGTTTCGGGCGAATGCGATGATTGTTCTTCTCTTTTTTTCAAATTTTTTTCTTGTTCTTTTTTAAAATATTCACGTCTGCGATCATCTTGTATAGAATCCACATCCATCATTAAAATCTTATTTTCCTCTGTCCATGTGGTGGTCTCAACAAATTGTCTTCGCAATTTATTTTTTTGCTTTTGGATTTCAAGTTTTTGTCTTATCAAGTCCCTATCGTGATCCCTCTTTACCGCCGAATTCATTATAATCTCTCGAAATTTTTCATTTTCATCTTTCATTATTTTTATAATAATAGACACATCTTTTCCCTGTTTTCTCTTTAATTTTGATTTTTTAATACCTGCCGGTCGTTGTGAAGATGAGCCACCACTAGCATTTTCATCACTTAAATTGATAGAAAAATTAGATAGTCCTGGATTGGGTGAAATAGGGGATTCTGGTTGCACATCTGCTTGCGTTTGAGATGAAATTGAGTTACGCCTCTGTGATGTGCACTCGAACAATGCATAATCTTTTATAATCGACCTACATGATCGTACTTGAATGATTGTTTTTTATTATTTTTTGGGTTCTACATATATAGTATATTCGCGCGCTCCATCTATAATATAACAATAAAACACATTATAAGCTATTATTATTGTTAAATGCAAAATTAAATTATATGAAGAAATATTTTCTTACCACATCATGTTCAGAAACTCCACTAATGTTTGCGTTTTTAATTTGTTGCACGCAGGATTTGAACAATTTAATATCGGCATTGATATTACCCTTGCGACATTGGATCGATTTATGTGGACGATCTGGCCACATTGGATTTGGCTTTGTAGAATTATATTCATTTGTTACACGAAGCCAAAACTTATCTCTACTTTGATATATACCCACCTCTGGATCTTGAGAAATTTCCATGTAGGACCGACAAAGGTGTTGATCTTCACTCATAGTATAGTTGGTTCCCATATGAGAGATGACTCTAAAAACTCAAATGAAAAATAAATAAATAATAATTGGTTTTATGGTGTAGTAATTGTAAGATTTGTGCAATGTAGTGTACTGTATTTATAGAGTGGAAAAAATATTGTTTGGTTTTTTAGATAAGAATCCTACGGTTCAGAATCATGATAACAAAATATGGTTTTACGGTTCAGATTTAAAGTTCAAGATTTTCTGCCACATCATAGATAAGGTTCATCCACCATACATTATGCTAAAATGTTTCCCCCGAGGCAAGTTGTCACAATAATTCTTTCATTCATTTTTGTTTTGTAGTGATTTTTTTATTATTATTTTAAAGTGATAATAAGATAAGAATTGAACGGAAAAGATTTTATGGAAATCTCATCCTACGGTCAAAAAATTTGATACTTGATTTCTTTTTCACTATTTGTACCATGTATGCTTAACAATATTTTCATACTTAAACTTTTCCCTTTTTTGAGAAAATATGAATTTCGATCATATTGGTTGTTCTTTTGCATTTTCTTCTTCAAGTTCATCTGATGATGAGTTTGAGCAGTTATTGAATAGCTACGGTGTAGAACAAGAATTGATATCTCATCAAATTTATAATAATAATATTCTAGTACAAGAATTTCTCAGTACTCAACAACTTAGCCAGAGTCATGGAGGTTCAGTTCTTGGTCGTAAAACAATTTTTCGCAATCGAGAAGCGGCCGCAGATCGTCTTTTTAATGATTATTTTTCTGAAAATCCAAAATTTAATGAATCCATGTTTTGTAGGCGTTTTCGAATGTCTAGAAATTTATTTTTCCGTATTGCAAATGCAGTAAAAAATCATGATAATTATTTTCTGCAACAAAAAGATGCAGTAGGAAAACTCGGGTTGTCTACATTTCAAAAGTTAACTGCTGCCCTTCGAATATTGGCATATGCAGTACCAGCAGATGCGACGGACGAGTACATAAACATTGGGGAGTCCACTGCAGTTGAGTGCATGAAGAAATTTCGTCGTGCTATTGTGGAGGTATTTGACGAGCAATATTTAAGATCTCCTAACACTAATGATGTTGCAAGACTCCTTTATATTGGTAAGAAGCATGGATTTCCCGGAATGTTAGGTAGTCTTGATTGTATGCATTGGCGTTGGAAAAATTGTCCAACAGCTTGGGCATGTGCATATACAGGACGCAGTAAGTGTCCAACTATTATCTTAGAAATTGTAGCCGATTATGATCTTTGGAAATGGCATGCATACTTTGGTATGCCTGGATCAAACAATGACATTAATGTGCTAGAGAGGTCGCATTTGTTTTTTGACCTTACTCAAGGAATTGCCCCTCCAGCACATTATGTCATCCAAGGGAAAGAGTATAATTTGGGATATTATTTAGCTGATAATATATATCCAAAATGGTCAACTCTTGTCCAAACTATTCGTGATCCACGTAGCCCAAAGAAAAAATACTTTGCAATGAAACAAGAAGCGTGCAGAAAGGATGTAGAACATGCATTTGGTGTACTCTAGAGTCGATTTGCAATTGTGGCTAATCCTGTTAGATTTTGGAGCAAAAGTGATTTACAACATGACTGCATGTATTATTATGCACAATATGATAATTGAGGATGAACGAGACCTTGATGCGGCGATTGAAAGTGTTAGGGAAGCCTCGATTCCAGACGTTGAGTCAGTTGACACTGATCAATCTCAGTTCCAAGCATTTGTTGCTCGATACAGACAAATTAGAGATAAAGAAGCTCATATAGCCCTTCGTAATGCCTTGATTGATCACTTATGGGAGGATTTTTCTAATTCAGAAAATTAGACATGTTGTTATTGTAATTAATAAAAAAATATTGTTGTCATGTTGTTTTCTTATGCTTATATCATTATGTAATCAATATTTTTTTATTTTTTTTGTCATGTTTTTTTATGCTTATATCATTATGTAATCATATTTCAAGTATTTAAATTTATGCAGTTCATGTTGTTATATGTATTTTTATAATTTAATAAATAAAATTATTAATAATTCAACATATATGTTTAAATTAATTTAAAACAAAGAATAATATAATAAAAAAAATACGTAAATTAAAATGTGGAGTGAAGGGTTAGAGGTAATATTTGAATTTTGGTTAACTCTACTTTAGAGTAGAGTAAAGTCTACTCCAGAGGGCTGGAGATGCTCTTAGGGTATGTTTGGTATGACATATAAGCTAGCTTATAGCTTATTTGATTAGCTTATAAGCTTCCTGTATTAAATAAGCCCTGTTTGGTAGAACGAGCTTATTTAAAAAGCTCGAGCTTATTTGATAAGCTTGTTTAGGTAGCGTTTCAAAATAAGCTCGTTGAATTTTTTATTTCAGCTAGCTTATAAGCTACTTTTACCAAACACTTTTATCATATAAGCTAACTTATAAGCTATAAGTCATAAGCTATAAGCTATAAGCTAGCTTATCACATATAAGCTATAAGCTAGCTTATCAGCTATCAGCTAGCTTATCGCTAGTTTTACCAAGCACACCCTTAGTCATCATCCAAAAACTGCTAGTCATCCCAACCATCACCCACCCTAGGTCCCCTCCCTCCCGTTCTACCTATCCATCCATCCGCCACGTCACAATAATCTTAGTTGCACAGAGGAGAAAAATCACCCGCATGTCATTTTATCATTCCCTGGACTCCCAGCAAAATTAAAACACCTCGCAATCAACCATGGTGACTCCAAAATCCCCAAATGGCCTAACAGAAAAAACAAATCCGTCCTCTCTCTCTCTCTCTCTCCTCCTTTTCTCTCTCTCCCGATGGATAACTACTCCTACAACTCTTCCTACCCGGAGTCCGGTGACTCCTCGCCGCGCTTCCGCGAGATCGAGTTCGAGAACCCGTCACCGTGGGAGGATTCGCAGGGCGGCGGCCAGCCGCCGGTGAGCTACCGGGTCAAATTCATATGCAGCTACGGCGGGAAGATCCT